TCCCACGTCGTGCCGTCGCCGCCGCCACCCCCGCCGCCGCCGCCGCCGCCGCCGCCGCGCCGCCGCTGGCCGCGGTGCCGGGAAGGCGCTGGCGACGCCTTGAACAGCTCTACATCCGCCTGAGAATGCGGGGTCCCGTTCGCGGCGCATGTGTGCGTGAACCCCTTTGCCCCGCAAGGCTCGAGGCTTCGGGGCCAGGCCTGATCAGCTCGATGGCCAGTGTGCCTGGAAATGACGGCCGCAGGGTCCGACATGCGCCGTCCTTTCACCCCAGCCCTGCCTACCATACGCGGTGCTGCTGCCGCTCCCCCGCGCCCGCGGGTGCGGCATGAACGCGCGAGCCCGCACCTCCGCGTGCAGCCCTGGTAGCGCAGCGCACCTGCGAGCCAAGGTCGACGCCGCCCCTGCCGCCCAGCGCCACGCTGCCGCCGGGGCCCGCCGCCGGCCGCCGCATGACCTGGCCGGAGCGCGGGTCCACGCACATGGCGGGATCTGCGGACGAGGCGCAGAGAGGAACTGAACACAAAGGGGGTGAACTGCAACAGGGACCGGCTGCCGGGCAGCTGCTGCATTGCGCCGAGGAACTCCCCCGCCCTGCCAGGACAGCAGCAACAGCGGCGTGCAGCCCCTGACCAGCTGCGGAACCCCCAGCCAGCCAGCCAGCTTGCCTTCATGTGGCTCTCGGTGGGCCCCTCCCTCCCCCCCTCACCTGCGTCCACCTCCTCGTAGCTCCTGAACTCCATGCTCTCCACCTCCAGCACGCCGCGGCAGAAGTGCCACTCACCACCGGCCTCCTCAGGGGGCAGCTGGGCCGCGGCCTGGCGGGACAAGGGGTGGGTGCGTGGGTGCGTCATGCATGCGGATGTCACGCGCACCTGAGCTGGTGCATGAGTGCTATGCTTGGAGAACAGACATATAATGCAGGTGGAGTGGCGTGTCTTGTTCGCAAAGTGCAGCCGCCGCCCACCCGTTGACCCCACCCCGCTCCCCCCAACGCGCGCACCTCCTCGTAGCTGCGCGCCTTGACGACGCGCGCCTTGCGCTCAATGCAGCCCACGAGGTTGGTGTCGGTCTGCAGCCACTCCACCACCTCCCGCTCATGCATGCCCTCCTGCAGCGCGGGCGGCATGTTGTTGCGCCGCTCGTACCACTGGACCTGGGGGGGGGGGGGTTGTAGAAGATGGGCAGGAAGGGGAAGGGTTGCGACGGCGAAAGCTCGCAGGGCTCATGGCCTGCAGGGCCGCTGCAGCGACCCGCACGCCACCAGTCCACGTACAGGCTTCCTGGTCCCTGGTGCTAGCCTGTGATGCCGATTCAAGCTCATGCCTTGCCTCGGGCTTGACATGAGAGCTGCTGAATAGCCGCTGCACAGCATTGCCGCATGCCGCAAGGTTCATTTGCATGCCCATGCGAACACATCTGGCTTGCGACAACTGCAGTAGCCCTCTCAGAGGTCTGCTGTCGAGCCAATGTTGCAAGGTGGAGGAGTTCAGACAACCAGCCATCACAAGGCATCGCAGCTGCCGTCCTCGCCAATGCGTGTCGCCGCACCTCGACACACAGCCGGTCCCCGCCCTGCTGCTGCGTGTCCTCAAACGCCGCTGTGATGCGCGCCAGATAAAGCGGCGCGCCCTGGTCCTCTGGCGTGAGGTAGACGTGGTCTCCCACCGCGTAGGTGGTGGCGCAGAACTGGAACGACTGGTAGTAGAGCAGCAGGCCCCCCGCATCAGGGGACGGGTCACCCAGCCACGCAAACGTCAGGCTCGGCGCAGCGCCGGCGGCAGCAGGGGCCGCCGGCGCGTCCATTGCGATCACAGCTGGGCCTGCGGTGCGCGCAATTTGTTGCCACGTGCGAGAGGAAGTGCGGCAGTTTCGCGAGTCAGGGCTGCCGGCCGTTCCGCAACAGCGGCGCGGGCGAGCGGCCAGCTCACAACGGCGCTGATGGCCGGCATTTGCAAGGCCTGCACCCCGGCCAATGGATTGGCAGCGAACCTAGGGTATCAGATGACCCTCGTTCCCGCCACCGCGCGGCCCGTTGCCAGGAGAAATCAACTCACAGATCTAATCGACCGTGTAGATCAAGGTGCTGCTTTCACAGGGGCAGGTCCATGTCTATCTTTCAACAATCTTTGGTTTGTTGCCAAAGGACAGCGCATAGACTGTCAACAACTGCGACTGCAGATCTAGCAGATCTACTGAGCGTGCCTCTCTGAGGAGGTTCGCAGCACTGGGGTTAGGGCTGGCGGTGGCGTGGTAAGCTGACTACGGCGTTTTTCTGTCTCAAACGGACCGCTTGCTGAAACTTCATTTCGAGTGTTGCATGCAGCCACCGCATGTCCCAGGTGTTGAGCCCAGTGCACCATGAGCGCGGCGCAGCCATGAGCGCTGGGGTCCGCACCTGCTGCCTGGGGCCGAGCAGGGACAGGGCACATAGCAAATTTGAATTCGAACTCGTGATACTGGCCGTGTATTGCTTACAAGGACCAGGGCCTAAAGCCACGCGTTGACAACAGGAGCAGGCCGCTCATGCCACGAGGCCGTAGCAGTGCAGGGCAGGTTTTTGGTTGCGACTGCCTGCGATTGATGGCGCAAGGGGCCACTCCCTGCTGAATTTCTGGTCAAAAGCGGCGAGGGACCAAGGAAGTGCGAGACAGTGCACAGGTGCCTTCCGAAACGGACACTGAGGCGTCCAGACGTGATGAGCGGACTCCCGGGCCGTGCCCATCGCACACCGCTCCACACAGCACGCGCCGTGCGCACGCAATCGCTCGCTCACACCGAGCCCAACGTGTCAAAAGGTTGCTTTGCGGCACATGTGCAAGAGGAAGCCGCGCCACCACGCGCGCACCCCCGCCCATCCGCAGGCTCGCCGCCCCTGCCGCCCGCCCCGCCACCCCTGGTCACGTCACCCGGTACTCCGTCCCAGCCCCACAGCAGGTTACGTCACCCCACCAGCCGGCCGCAGCATCAGTCGTCATCCTCGTCAGACAGCACCAGGTCGTCGGTCTCCTCGTCCTCGTCCTCGTCATCGAAGAACTCCTCGTCGCGCGACCAGCGCCCGCGGCCCCGCCCGCGCCCGCGGCCGCGGGCGGTGCGCGCGACCTTGCGCTCCCCCAGCTCCAGCTCAGCGGACGCCGAGCGCCGCGGGCGGTTCTGGCCCTTGCCCTGGCTGCGCTGGAAGCGCATGCCGCACTGCAAGGCAGGCGAGCGTGGTGGGCAGCACAATCAGGGGTGAGTGGTGACGCGGGGCCAGGCACTGCATGGCATGCGGTGAGGTTGAAGGCCAAAAATCTGACCACGTCGAGCCCCTGCAACCTCCGGAGATGCTTTGCCCCCTCACCGCGTTGCAGAGTGTCCGCGGGCCTGCGTCGTTGCGGTTTGGGTGGGGGGACGTGCAGTAAGCCAGAGTCAGCCGTGAGCGCAGGGGACGCGATTGGGAAGCCGGCACTTTCTCCTCGCCGCGCTGGCACAACGAGCACACCGGCACAGGGAGCAGGGACAGATACAGTGATGGGCTCCGTGCAGCGAGTGGTGCTGTGGCGCTGCAGCAACTGCTGCTCTGCAGGCTGCAGCGGCGGATCCCCTGAGGCTGTGTACTCGGTCCCATAGTCCCGCCCAACCCACTCACCCGTGGGCCCCTCACGCCACTGCGGAGTGTTGGTGGCGCCGCACTCGTAGCACACCTCCCCGGGGATGCCCTGACCGCCGCTGCTCGAGAACTCACGGCGCTGCTGGCGCCCCCCCCGCCGCCCGCCGCCGCGGCCGCCCCCGCCGCGGCGTCCGCCCCTGCCGCGCTTGGGCGGCTCTGCTGCCGGTTGGAAGAGTTCGACATCCATCGGCTGTGGGAGGCAGTGAAGTGGATGGTGACGCGTGTACATGTGTGCGTGTGAGAGTGTGTGCGTGAAGGTGCACATGTGCCAGCAGTGACTGGTTGCATGCATGTGATTGCCTGCTGGGAAAGCGAGCGGCATCAAGGAGGTCGGGGAGACAGCGAGCAGCGTCGTAGAATGCTGCCACCAGTGACAGGCCAGCAAGCACGGTTGGCTGAGAAGGCCGTCACGCCAGCGGCGGCACCCGGCCCCGACCCCGCGCACCGGCAGCAGCCCGTTGCCTGCCGCGTACACGGCCTGGCCGCCCTGCTTGCCGGCCCTGCTGGCGACGGCGGCCATGGCCGTGGCATAGCTGACCACCATACCGCTGCGCTGGTCGTACG